TTACTGGTGACGAGACATGGTGTTTTCAATATGAGCCTCTCACAAAGCGGCAGAGTGCAGCGTGCATCATGGTTGAGCCCAAAGAAAGTGCACATGCAAAACATTCGAGTAAAGACACTGCTAACCGTTTTCTTCGATTCCAAAGCAATCGTGCAGAAGGAATTTCTGCCAGGTCAAACAGTGATTTCTGATTATTATCTCGGAGTCCTCAATTGTTTGTGGGCGAGAGTTCTTCCAATTCGACCTGAATATCGAGCGCAAGGTTCCTGGTCGCTCCTCCACAATGCCCCATCACACAAATCAAAGATCGTGCGTGATTTTTTGGCCAGAAAAGGGATCACAGTCCATCATCCTCCATATTCGCCAGATTTGGCTCAAGCAGATTTCTGGTTGTTCCCAAAAGTTAAGTTGGCAATGAAAGGAGACCATCATGACACCATCCAGGACATCCAAAGGGAATCTACGGCAGTTTTAAATGCAATTCCACAAAAGGAGTACAGTGTTTTTGAAAACTTTTCATTCGATTCCGGCTATGTATTGATTCAGAAGGAGACAATTTTGAAAATAATTCACGTCTTATATTTTTAATGAACACAGTCCTAACAGAACCTGGACGCACTGTGTAAACATGATTCTCGTCCTTTGGCTTGACTTCTTTTCACATCTATGAAACAAATTATATATCACACTGAAATCTGTACATTTTCACAGAATGTACATCCCTACAAACACCTGAAAATGAATGATGTAATCTTTTTACAGATCTGTTGCAACAGTTTTGGCTCAACACAGGAAAACATGTATGCAATATAAGATAAATAGATACCTTATTATGATTTATATATCTTGCCTGAAACACTATTTGACTGGCAACATATTTCAATAAAATTTAGGGGAAAACGCATATTCTCAAATGCAATGAAGGCTCTACTTGACCAATCCAAAAGCAAATTAAATGCTGAACTCCCAAACCAATTTTCATCCAAATCCATGAACACACCATACAATTAAATGCACAGATTGGACATCACTAGAAAACATTAATTTTATATATACACATGTTATCCCCCAATGAAGAGAAGGCAAGGCAAGTGGTGAATATAATTCCCTGACCTTAACACTTCTACTGTTCATTTAGAGGCACAGTGAGTTTCAATGTAATGACAAGCTTTCTAAGCATTACACTGACATTTTGTGCACTTCAGGGAGAAGGAAGAAGTCACAGTCCTCAGTAACTGCCTCACCTTCTCTTTATTGGAGGGTAGAACAATGCCTTAAAAATGGATTTCCATAGGTATCACCTCACTCAACAGGACATACAAAACCGGGTCTAAATATAAAGTAAAAATTAATCTGTCCAAATTACAAGATAAACTGTCTTTTTGAGATCATTAATGACTGCCATATTTTTCTTTGGCTTATCACTCAACACGAACACATATTCTACATCATTTTCAATCTCTGAAACATATAAAATCATAACTTCTAAACAATTCCAAATGGAAAACATCATGGGGCAATAACAATACATACAAAACTGCAAAATATTTTAGTCTTATTATACCATATTGGGAAAATAAGCACCAATTCTTCTGTACCTGAGCTTAATTTACATAGGGCTGATTCTATTACTCACTAAAGTGCACAGCATAAAGAGGGCAGCCACTAAATCTTTACCTAATCTTCATCACATTCACTTAGCCATGCAAATTCACTCCAATCGGTACAAAACAGTTATGGCACACATAAGCCATTACAATGACCTAGTCTTATAATTTCCTTGTGCATCCCTACATTGCTAACCACAGCCAATGTTGACTCAAATGTGACCCTGCCTCCCAATTAAGACAAAATTTATTTCCTCTTTTTTACAGTCAACACAGTAACATATATATTCCAAAAAAAATTGCACTTAAATCATAGGTATAGGATTTTCCAAGAAAAAGGCTTTCTCTCTCTGCTGTAGAATGAGATTTCTCCTGAAACATGTTATATACTATGGATGGAAATGCTGAGAGAAGGCAACAGGTGTCCACTTCTGGTAACACAAATGCAAGACACTTGTATTTAAAATATCTCAATATTTTTAATCAAATATCTACCTATCTATGGCTCTACAGTCCTTTTGTTGGATCTTGGATGCTTTTTCAGTTTCTTAATCCTACATACAGTCCATAAGATTCCTTGGACAGAGGATCAGCCCATTTCAAGGTCAGTACCTATACACAGAACACAAACACAGAATAAACGCACACAGACATCCATGCTTTGAGCAGGATTTGAACCCATGATTCCCAGGTTCAAACAAGTGAAGACAGTTCATGCCTTAGACTGCATTTCCACTGTGATTGGCAATCAAACAATTACTTGTTGTTAAACAAATAATAAGTAAATAAAGAGAAAATGCCTTATGGAAAGTGATAGATATATTACTGCACAAATAATAAATCAGACACTAGTGAATATTTGTTCAAGGTGCTTATTATATACTGCAGCAGGAGATGTCAAACAAAACTGTTGGTAAATTTTATAGTTAAACATCTAGAACAGTCGCGTGCTGTGCATGGAAGCTAGGGAAGCATTGCTTCCATAGTTAAGAACCGAAAAGAAAAGAAGTATATAAATAATTCAATTTGAATAATAAGGATGTGAATATTGTCATTTAGCACATGTTCCTGCTCAAGGCCACATGCTGCCTTATCCTCCTCCCTTACCTGCTTGGTGGGATGGACCAAGTTTCCTTTCGTTAATCTCCATACGAATTCATCCCATCCTAAGTGGCCAAAGGAAGCAAATTTCGGTTTGCTGGCTAGATCAGCGAAAGACTGTGTTCTTTCGATGGTTATGTGAAAATTAACTGTTTATGTGTGATTTCAGTCTTGTTGGGTGTTATAGGTAACATTAAATTTTACTAAAATATTGTAAGTGCATATTTATAGGGCGTAAGATTGTATTTGTGATCATATTTTGACGCATCAGAAAGAAGCTATCTGCGTTTTAAGGGAAGCAAGTCTGATATTGTTGTACGAGGGGCAGGGATGTGAATAGACTACACACAAGTGACAGCTAAAATGAATGCTGGCAGACGAGACTGCGACTGTGCAATCGAAAGCCTTTTAAAATGGGGGTTTAATAGCAGGGACTTTTCTGAAAAAAAAAATAATTATAGAAAGAGGACGACCAACATGAGAGTTGCTGGAAATTAAAGCACAAACCAAATTATGTGTGAGAAATTTTAATTTGTAATAGTATTCTAAAACAGAGTGGCTATCCGGTTGCCATAATATAGGAAAATTGTTTTGTTGGCCATGCCTATTGTTTCTCAATGAAAAAAATGTATGGAACAAGACTGGGTTTGCTGAGATCAACAATCTTCGTAAAGCACTGAAACGGCATGAGAACTCTCAGACTCACATTATTTCAACAATGCAACTTGTTATATTAAGGAAATCTCGAACTGACTGTCAACTTGACAACCAAACGCACCTAACGATATTACAGCAGAATGAAAATGTGAAAGAAAATAGAGGAAATAATGAAATGCTTGATTGATATAATCTGCCATTTAGGAAAGTGGAAACTTGCCCTCTGTGGTCATGACAAAAGCGTGGATTCTATCGACCGAGGTAATTATGTGGAATTAGTTCACTTGTTGAGGAAATATGATCCTAAACTCAATGTTCACCTTGAGAACAGTACAGTATTTACACGTTTATCGAACAGAATACAAAACGACCTTATTGACTCAATAAATGACGTAAATTTTGGTGAGTTGACTGCTATCAGTTCATTTATTAGATACCACTGCTTCCCTTACCAAAAATACTACTGCACGCCACTGATCTAGAAACACAATGAATGACATCATCAACAGAAAATGCTGTGTAAGTTTAAACAAGTGTTTCTGATAAAAGAAATTAATCTTCAAAATTCATTAATTGGAGTAATTAACTATTATTTTTTCCTGTGGCACTACAGCCCCAATTTGGGCCTAGGCCTACCTCCATGAAACTCCCCATTTCACTTCGGTTTACTAGATCTTACACATACGGTAGGACTCCTTGGGCGAGTGATCAGCTCATCGCAAGGCCTCTACCTGTAGACAAACACAGAAAAACGCACACAAACATCCATGCCCTGAGTGGGATTCGAACCCACGATCCCGGCTTCCGAGCGAGCAAAGACAGTGCATGACTTAGACCGCTCGGCTACCGTGACCGGCAATTAACTATTATAACTGTAGATTATGCAGAAAATGGTAGCAACAGGATTACATGAAAGAAACAAATAGACATGGAAAAGGTTACGCCAATCACTGTTTTAACATCTCAAAAACGGGGTAACTTATACAGTTCCTTTGAACTAAGTATGCTACTGCATGCACATTTTGGACAGTCAAATTGCTGCCCCATATATATAAATCAATAAGTAACCACAAATCAATAACACATGTTATGGTGCTAATTATTTTGTTACTGACTGGACAAAGCCTTTGTTAATGAACGTCCAAAACTACAAACTGCAAATGACTCTTAATTTTAAGACATAAAATAATACTGACATTTCATATGAATATTTTCACAAACATGGAATGAAAAGAATTTGACATGAACCTTAAACTCTACCATACATGAAGAAAAAATACAGACTCTATATCCATTTCTTAATTTCAGAGGTAAATTCATCTATACATAAATTTGTATATTCCTGCAAAACTAGAGAATGTAAAAGCAAATGTGGTAAAAGTTTCCCTGTAACAGGCCATGGAGGCCTATACGGTTGTGAGATGTTGAGGCCCCCATATTTTCTAGACAATCAGCTCACAGATGGTGGTCAGGTTGTCAGCCTTACACACCAACCACCCTTTACCCCCAAGGAAGATTCCTGGTACTCTTTTCTGTTAGAGGCTGAGTCGATCCCAGGGCCATAGTACAGCTGCAAGGATTAGGTAAATTAAAAAAATCCACATCATTGGGATTTAATCCCGCGACTTTCCGGCTTCTAGCATAGTGCCTCAACCAAGTATACTACCACATGCCCCCAATGGCAAAATAACCACATAAAAATGATAAAAAACAGAAGTTACTACAATTTAAAACTGATACTACCAATACCAAACTGTTATTCTGCGATGTGTCATCTGTTCGTCCCAGTCACACTGCTAGAAGCTGTTACCAAACTAGGTACTGTTACTGGTAACTTCAAAGAAATTAGCTTGTCCCACTGAACATGTCTAATGATGTCAGAAACAGAGCTCATTAAAAAACAAAAAGGGAATTGGAAATAAAATAAGTATTGTTATTTGCATACTGGGGCATGCAGTGGCATACTTGGTTAAGGCACTAGGCTACAAGCCAAAAGGTTGTGGGTAGGAGTAGGAATTGGGAGTTAAACTCGGACCCCCCAAAGTATAAACAGTAACACCTCAATAAACTATTCACTGCATGTCTGCATATCACAATTTGTTTTATCATATTCAAAAAAATCAATTTTGAAATATTTTGACATTCTTTAGGAAAACCAAATATAGAAGTTATATATAACATACTCGTATATCTGCCCCATAACTGACTTTATAAAATCTGGTTGTAAATTCCTCAGAAATATCAAATTCATTTCATCTAACTAGATACAAATATTATACAAATTTAAAAATCACACCATAACTTAAATTATACATAACAGGCATTGAAATGACAGTCTATTTTAATAAACATAATTTTGTATCATGTTACAGTTAACAACATAACATCAACACTCCACCCAAAATAATATTTAATAACAGATGCAAATTGTTACTGCAACTTACCAATGGTAATTTCTACATTATCTACTGAAAGCACTGAAAAATGCAAACATACTGATACAAAGTCCATATGAGGTCTAAAAGCATTAGGCTTACTGTTATCTACATAACTAATTTCCTACATGCGCTGACAAACCACTATTTATCTAGCATCATAATTAAAGAACCTTTGACAAAGGCAACCTAAAACCAAAAATGTTTCTAATATACGGATTTATGTTCTAATTTGCAACATACAACCAGATAAAAATGTCACAATGAATAAGCATTTTATTTAAAAATGTGCTTCAAAGAACATACATTGTTCTGAATATTTTCTATAAAAATTATGTTACAAACTCACTTTTAGTTGTCTTTTCTTTACATGGTAATGCTCCAGATAAGAGCAATGCACTGCTGTGCCCATTTAGCACTAATGACCAACATACAACAGATTGCATCTCGGCTACCTAAGCAATGTCCTGCTACAGTGACAACATGCATATCATAATACAAAATATTTTCTGAATTTCACACAGACAAATGAAACATCATTCAAACCAATATTATGTACTACAAAGTTTCAGATTACAGGCATAATTGTATGGCAGTATATGCTCCTATATTTGTTCAATTTTCAATGATATTTTATTTTAATACCAAACACTGTAAAAAAATTACAAATTTCAGTACAGCATCCAACAGTCCAATTTCAGCCTTAAAGCCTATGATTATTTCTTGGCCTACCTCTGCATCACCCCTTAGCTTACTTGTAGGTTCAGTTACAAAAGCAGGGAGCTCTGTGAGGAAAGCATCATATCCTACATCAGTCTCTCTTACCAGTAAGAAGAACAAGACCAAAGAAGGAGTAACCATCACGAAGAATCATTTTGCGATTGCGCTCACGCTGCCAGACAAAGAGACGATCAGTAGCATTGAGGAACCGTACAACAGATGTAAAGCAACTCACTTCTGACATATTTCTCGTGTCTGCTGTACTCACACTGCATAATGCCACATCTTCAGGAGACGTCTTTCCTGCCTCCTGGAGTCTGATGGAAAAACTGTTTGTTGATTCTGCCGTTATGTAATACATCTATCAAACAATATGATCAACAAATGAAGAAACTGTTTAAGAGAAAGGATATACAACTTTACTACAAATGTCCAAGGATACACATACATTTGTTATGAAACAACATACTAGTTAAACAAATGGTAAAATATGGCATAAGCTAACAGACTTAAAGGTACAAGCAACAGAATCAAGTATAACAACACCCTTCAGATTTAACCATGGGATTTACCACATATAAACCAAATGTATGATCGCCTCTGTGGTCTAGTGGTCAGAGTTCCTAGCTACAGATCCAGAGGTCTGTGTTCGATTCCCGGCACTACCAGATTTTTGGAGAAGTAGTGGATCTGGAATGGGGTTCACTCAGCCTCTTGAGGATAATCGAGCTATTTCAAAGAAATAGCGGCTCCAGTCTAGAAAAACGAAACTAACGGCTGTGGGAATTCATTGTGCTGACCACTTGACACCCTCTATCCACTAAAGTTGGAACTAACTTTGCCGACAAGAGGCTGTCGCTCGGTCAGTATAGTTCACTTGCGGACTAAAAGCATTGAGTTTTTAAACCAAATGTATAACCAACAATGTGACAAGCACTGATACAAGGATGCAATCTTCTTCCCTGAGTTTGGAAGCTCATCAGACACACTGGTATGTATCTACCAAACTACAGAAGGTGGTCATCATCATTAACAATACCATGACAAACTGACATCTCTAACTTCCAACAACAGAACCCTTCCACTGCTGTGACAATTCTTCCTTATTCCAAACCAATCTCAAAATATGACTTACATCCTTATTGGATTTTCTTGGAAATTGATCAACACTGATAGGTTATATTTTTTCAACTTCTCAACAGTAATATCATCATAGTATATGATGGGTACTAATGGTTCAGTCTGGTAACACTGTTAACTTCATGAACATTCATTAGCTGGCAGAAGTAATTCTTCTATTTATTCAAAATACTGTTATACTATGCAAGATCCTCATGGCCATCCTTTACCAAGTTAGTGTTAGGTTGGTAACCCTTCTTAAATTCATTTCTGCCTCTGTACAAGTCTCTAATATTCTTGTTCTTACTCTGTTTCTATCTCATTTTGTCTTTCAAATGCAGCATGGTCGCATTTTATGCATAGATGAATTCCCGAAGATCTCACATAATTCAAGAAAAGTTTTCTCACAGATATATATGTAAAGTGAGGGAGGTTTCTGGGATTCTGGATTCGCATTATTTAAAACTTTACATATGAAGTGTGACTTTATATTGCACTATTTCAAATTCACATGAAGCAAAACCACACTGTATTTCCATTATCTGCTACTGAAATGGCTACCAGTTTCACAATTTACACCATTAACATTATTTCCATTTATGTGCTTTGGATTCTGTAAGCACTACAATTTAGCCTGCTCCTCCTAATAATTCTGAAGAACATTTGTCAAACCACAGGTTATGTCACATGCTTCTAGGCAATATAATATTTCACATTATGAATTTGTTGTATTTATGATACAAATCAGGCCAGAAATTCATGCTCACAATATAAAACCTGTATGTTTGACATCTGCTTCCCACACCCTCACCTGTGCATAGATATAATACAGTCCATGCTCTGAGACTTCAACTGCTCCACTCCCTTCCCGCAGCTGGAACTTTGATAGGAGGAAGTCACCGGCTACCTGCTTATTTGCATTCCATGGTGCTACCAACCCTGCCACAAGAGTTCAAAATCATTAAAGACAGATCTCTCCTTCATACTTAAATGCCACATAGATCTATTGAGGAGGATGATTCAAGAAGTAACATTTCTGACTTTTATTCAGAGACAGTCCAGTCCAAATCCCAGTTGCGACAATGAGTATCCTGTTATCATGATTTTATTCAGTCTCTCCAGGAAAATGTCCAAATAATATTTACAGTTAGGCCATGATAAGGCCGCGCCATGGCTCAAGTGGTTAGTCGCTGGCTTCCCACTGCAACGGCCCGGGTTCGATCCCGGGTTTGGCCAAGTGGGATCTGTGGTGGACAAAGTGGCGCTGGGGCAGTTTTCTCCGAGTACATCAGTTTCCCCTGTCAATCTTTTATTTCACCAGTTGCTCCACAATCACCCTCACCTATCATCGGGCTGGTACAAGAGACTTAGTCCCATCCCACTAGCATTTAAAAAAAAATTAGGCCATAATAGCTTCTTTCCACTTCCCTTCCAATTCATTATACACTACCACTCCATCATTTAACGGTGTGTAAACTGAGATACTCACAACATTGTTAAATAAATTACAAATTAGAAGAAAAAACATAAATCACATAGAGTTAAGTTTGAGGGTCTCACTGCATAGAGTTTCATTTTCTGAGGTGTAACCCCATGTGACGTTTTGGAGGGACATATCGCCTCTGTCTTCAGGGTAAAAGAGTAAGCCAAGCAAGAAACCAACAACAAGCAGGCCGCAAACACGGCTTTAAATGTCGGTTGAGTTTTACTAGACAACATGACATACATCCCAGTAGCCAGAACTCTTCATGTCAAACACAGCTGCCAAACCTATCCACATCCAACAGTACCGCACATTATGAGTACCATATTTATAACTGCTGCAAAATTATAATTTCATTATTTTAAAAAATTGAAAAACTATGACCTGGACTTAATAACTACCATGTATATACGTATATGACAAGTAAAAATTCATTTCTCATTAGGTACTGTAATAGGTACTGCAGACTCAATTTCCCCTTAGTTGAAGTAGTCTGCTGTGTCAAGGTGGAAAGTGAATGAAGCTTCATCTCCATACCCTTACATTATTCAATGTTTCTGAAAGCCATTTTAATAATATCGCATCGCTCTTCAACAGAGTCAAAATGAGATACTTTCGAGGAACCTAAAATGGTCACAAAGCTCCAAATCAGGCATATATCACAGATGTTCTAACTACCCTGCAACTGTCACAACATTACACATAGAAACAAAATGATAAATGCTGACCACTCTGTTCTGGCAATGGCATGACCAAAGTGCAAGTGCTCTTCCCTCTACAGAATATAATACAGCCCATGCTTATTTGGTATTCAAATGGCTCCCAAGTTAAAGTAAAGAAAATCATAACATCTCAATAGGTCTACCTACTACTTGGTGGGATCAAAACCATGCTTTGCTAAAGTCATGCAAGAGGCAAACATGTTAATACTCTTCTTTGAAATTACCTTCATAATATTTATTACTACTATAATTACAAAGTGGTACATCTAGCAGTGTCTGACATTACAAAAACAATTGCGTGGACTACTTAAAAATTAGTGTACAATGTAAACATGGTCTGCAATACTGGTTCCCTGACAAACACCATCATGTATTTCTTTCCTATGAATTATTGGTCATCTGTGCTTGAGGCCAATCTGCTTTTGGTATTCTTTCAGTATGTTTCCAACTATGATGAGAGTCACTGCTCAACAATGCATGTTTCCTGTTGAGGATTCTGTCAAAAAAAGAGACAAATCTGAAACTGTATTTTTACCTTCTGTCAACTCTATCTGGATTCATCTTTACCCAGCAAACCACTGCCCACTTACTCTTTTGTGACACAATTTGGAATATGTAAAAAATATATTCAAGTCCAGTGAAGAAATGGAAAAATAATTTTTGGGTATTTGGAGAAAGTTCTGTGGAGTCTACAGACTGTGACAAATGCATATCAGTAGAGGATTGTGGTCATCATAAATAAGTGCATGACTTTTATCTCTTAAGAAACTTCAAGATGAATTTCTCCTGAAACAACCGATGCTCTCTTGATGGACATTTGTTATGCCGTTCTGCAATGATGTTCAGTGCATCACAACATTTGTTATGGAGGTGCAAAATATGTTTGGGGGTTAAATACAATTTCTAGCAGCGTACAATAATGCCACAGTAAATAAACTGACTTTATTTATAACTTTTAGGAGCCAGGATAGCGCAGTCAGTATAGCAATTGGCTACAGGATGGACGACCTAGAAGTCCGGAGTTCGAGTTTTGGTAGGGTCAAGAATTTTCTCTTCTCCATGTAGTTCAGACTGGTACTGGGGCACACCCAGCCTCCTATCCAATGGGTACCAGGGGCTCTTTCCCCGGGGGTAAAGCAGCAGGCATGTGAAGCTGACCACTCACCTCCAACTAGTGTAGAGGTCAAGAAAATATGGACCAATGCATCCACTCCCTCATATGCCTTCATGGCGTAGTGAGTAATTAATTAAGCACAGGGACAACTTTATCTTTTTATTGGTAACATTTGCAAAAGCTGACATGATAAATGAGGCGATGTGAAGGTGGGGTGGAAATCAGCAAAAAAATGCAGTAAAGTGAAGTGAAGTGAAGTGAAGTGAAGTGAAACGAAGCGAAGTGAAGTGAAAAAAGTGTTAAGGATGGGAGTATTATATAAGTGTAGTAAAGTGAAATAAAAGGAAAATGAAAACATGACATTACACATTCAATACTGTCGGTTTATTATATAGTATGTTTCACTTTTCTACTAATGTTTGTGTGCTGTGTTTGAATGTGTTTATATGTGTTATTTGTCTGTTGTCTTATTGTAGTACCACTGCCACTGGGTGAAAACCCATTTGCAGTTAAATAATAATAATAATATTATTATTCACATGTGGAGTGCCTTGATTTCCTTGTGCGTAACTTCCTTTGCATCAGTGGTCACAGCAAAGCCATTCTAATATTGGAAACCACTGGAGGCACAATTCTGTAATGCTACAAAAAAAAATACTTATAAATCCCCTTTTCTAACATAGTGTTGTCAAATGCAATGCCTAATTTGGGAACACAAAGTCCTGCATTCATTAACTACACCCAAATATGAGCATCATGCTTAGTTACCCATGTTTGTTATTTTCATACCATACATGTTAATGTTGGAAAGTAATGAAAAATACATACTACCTCCTTCTTCTATGAACACATCAGGCACAGCTCCTTTGAAATGAACCACAAATGGACCTGAAATATTTGAAGAAGTGTGAAACACTCATAATTTAACAAATTATAGTGATAATTACACTTCAATATAAATGCATACTACAGAAAGTAATCATCATACATGCAGGAAATTTGTAACTGCCACTCTGTGGCCACTGACAGACATAACGGTTCTGAGAAATTTCATGAACATTAAAAATTTCTGATTATTTCCACAGTCAAGTTGATATTTTATAGATCTCCACTTCCACACAATGATAGTAACAACCAATGTTCTATTTTATGTTAAGATACCTGTATATTCAGACATAGGCCGGCCATTATCTAGCCTGTAAGAGCTTTTTAAGCTTAATTTTTCATACACATAAAATATAAATTTAGTTTATAAATCCCATCCAAAGGTGTCTCCAACTTGTTGTGGTGGTGGGGCTTACATGACTTTGTGACCTGGAGAGCTATGTCGGCGATAGATTAACTACCAGTAGGGTCACCCATGCCAGAAAGGTCAAAGGTTAGAGTCCAGACTAAGAGAGATACCCTGGTCCTCCAGGTTGGGAGTTGGGCATGAGACTAACAACCTCATCCTGTAAAAGGAATTTTGTTCAGAAACCTAACAGCCAGCCTCGGGTCATCATGCATGGATCCATTCCTATGGTAGCATGCACTGGTTGTGGAGACTTGATTGTAGAGGAGGCCAAGGCTCACTTAGGGCTGTAGCGCCAAGTGGTAGGTAGGTAGATAGGTAGGTAGGTAGGTAGGTTGGTAGGTAGTTTATAAATATGTGGAATTAAATAACATGCTCATTTCTCATTCCTGTTTATCATTTAACTCTTACTTAGTTGTCATTTAGTTATTTAGTTTCATACATAAGAATTTTATTAGGGGTTCCATAAAAATTTTGAAAAATCAAAAGGTCTGTGCTCAAATTACATTGGGAAACAGTGGTCTAACTATTTCCTATTTTAACAACTGGAATACCACAGTTAAGACAGGAGACCATTAACTACCACAGTGAGTACCATGAAAGTCAACATTCCTCTTATGTTCCCTCTAGAGCATTAGGCAAAGGGTGACCATTCTATTGCTCAAAAGCTCATACAAAATGCAATGATCTGCTCAACTTAATTTGATGCTATTTAGATTCTTGTTCATGATCATTAAAACACTTAGACTCTGTTGTCACTGTTATAGTCACATCACTTACTGTCTGTTTTGGAATCATCTGTCAGCTGCAGAACTGCACGCTGTGACTGTTCTGTCTTTGGCAATAATCTTGGAATACTCACTGTTGTCTACTTCAACATTAATTAGAAACTTTTACATTTCTGACTGCATCTTGCCTCTGGTACGGAGCTACATTTCTAACGCACGTAACAGTTTTCTTTCAGTCACTGTGGATAACTGACCCAATGATGCTGATTATTAACTCCAAGTGTTGAGAGTGGAATACAGTTCAGGTCCTTTACACCAAATCTTCATCTCCACAATGTTCCAAATTCTGTTGGTACACAAAGAGCATACAGGGAGTAAATCCATCTCGTGCCAGATTTTCTTTAATAAATACAGTTCTTGGGCAAAAGTGTTTTGCCAGGACAGATGGTTTTGACTTTTGTTGTGTCCGTGGCGCAGCTGCTCCTCCTCCTCCTCCCCCTTCTTCTTCTTCTTCTCCTCCTCCTCCTCCTCCTTCTCCTCCTTCCCCTTCTTCTTCTTCTCCTCCTCCTTCCCCTTCCTCTTCCTCCTCCTCTTCTTCTTCTTCTCCTCCTCCTTCCCCTTCCTCTTCCTCCTCTTCTTCTTCTTCTTCTTCTTCTCCTCCTCCTTCCCCTTCCTCCTCCTCTTCTTCTTCTTCTCCTTCCCCTTCTTCTTCTTCTTCTTCTTCTCCTCCTTCCCCTTCCTCTTCCTCCTCCTCCTCTTCTTCTTCTTCTTCTTCTTCTCGTGGCATAAGCAACCAAGGCTGTTCCAACTTCATCTGTTCATTCCATCTTTTCCATTCCCAGCATCCTTTTGGTTTATATTGTAGAATCAATTCAGTATTCTCATCTAGTCATTCTACCCAAAACAGCCTGTCCACTTTTGTCTGTGTTCATCTATTTTATTTTATACTTGTATTTTCAATTCTTTTACAATATCTTCATTCTTAATACAGTGTAGCCTAGTATAGCCGTTCTTAAGTATCTCATCTGTACTTACCATATTCTATTCATCACTCTTGAACACTCAAATATTCACAGGACAGCTGGCTGGAAATTTTGGTGTTAAAATTTATGTTAAACTACAAATGATTATCAGACTTCAAAGAATATGACAGTACTTTACTGTCTTGGTTGTGGCATGATGTATCATCAGGAATAATAATTCCAGCTGGTGTTCCAACCATTTGGCAAAATTGTCATTTTCCATTTTATTACAGAAATCCAAAGACTTGAATTTTAAGATATATACCAAAAAAAGCACACGAATGAATCCCAGTGGGCATCCAATATAATATGAGGCAAAATTAACAATGCTGTTAACATACATTTCATGAAGGTCACTTTGTCAGTGTTCATTCACGATGTGATCAGTATGGATCCATGCAAATAGCTGGTCTTTTGCCTACTGTTTCATTCTTTCTCAAAATTTTACGTTAAAATTGCAATTGCAACTGTCTCACAATTCATGATACTCAATAATGAACCTTTTACTTTTACATTTTCTGAAGGTAACTCCCACAGGTCTTACTAATTTTCTCAATCATTGCCTACCACATATAAAATTAAGTTATTTTATAACGAAATTGTGTGCCAAAAACATTTTTCTGATTACACATTTATTCTTATATAAAATATGCTTAGCCTGTTCACATATAACCTTCTTGCTTTCAACAACCATGTACATTTTCTTTTAGGAAATACAGCCACTTCTTATTACCTTCCATACCTAAAGTCATTTAAAAAATTCTTATGTAATTCATTGCTTTATAAGTTGTAATCAATATAACGTTAATTAAAATACAGTAGAACCTCATTAATTCAGACTAACAGAGCAAATGGGTAAACTGAATCTGTGAAAATTCTGAATTATTGAACATACTCGTAATTATATGTAAATATTTTCAAGTTGCAGTTGTTTTAAGAGCAGAAAATTGTACTGTTTCCAGTACAGATTAGATATTAAATGTGCATTTCAATTCTTCTGCAGCTGACAGGAAGTAGTGAACTGCATAATTACATTCTTTTTCATGAAAAAGTTCCATTCTGCAAACATAAACCATATACATAAAAAGGAGAACACAGTAAAATTACGCACTGTCAAAATTAGTGAGATTTTACTGTATATAATTACACTTCTATCACAAATAAAAAAAAGCTTTAACAATAAACAAAATCAAATTGCATCAACAAGTAGCAATAGTTTCACTGGCATAAAAACATTTAACACTTTACAGTTGTCCCTATCATAGAAAGCAAGGCGCTCAGGCACAAATATTACAAAAGGCAGGGTATTCAGGCATCCATATTACAGAAAACAAGGTGTCTAGGCATTCATAACACAGAAAGCAAGGTGGCAGGCACCCACAACAGAGAAAGTGAGGTGTTCAGGCAGCCACATTATGAAAAGAAATGTGATAATCATGAATTCTAAATTGCAATAAGAAGAATATGATATAATAATGGGTGGTTATATATTACTCTGAAAAACCTAATTTTGTGAGGCTCTCTTACATGCAGATGTAACTTATTAGACCTATCATTAGATCATCTAATTTAGTAGGATATCACCACATCACCAGTCACCTTGGTATATAACACTAACTTTTCCAGGCAGATAGAATTCAATAGCCACAAAACAAATGCCAGTATTACTTGGCCATGGTCTCAAGAACACATAATAACAATAATAAAAAGATCATTACATTTAGCAAATTTCAGTTGTCTAACAAAGCACCAACACCAACATTCTTTAAGAGTATTTAAAAATTCATATTACTTATTCAGACTATTTAGCATTAATGAGATAAGACAAAGGACTCAGGTGAGAAGATAATTATATATCATGAATTTGAAACAGCTGGAAAGGAAATGGTCATGCCCTATTTCAATGTACTATGCTGGTATTTATTCTGAGATGCAAAGGAAAATGATGGAAACCTCACTTTTTGATAACTAGAGCTCTCACTGAATTTCAGTAGAGTGCCTTCCAAGCACAGTGGGATCATCTGAGACCTATATGAAAATAGTTCAGCTGTTTTGGTGGGGGGAGACAAATGATCCTTGCATCAACCTGAGTCACACAAATTCTTAGTGGTAGCAATCTTGATCAAGCCAAGAGTCTATACATTATAATTTACCTTCATTACTGTCACAGTAAATCACTGAACAACTACTATGAAGCAAACTTAAGCACTATGTGCCAGTCAACAGTAATCTCAAGCCCCAGCCACTCCATTAAAGATTCAACCAGTTGCATTAATACTTCGACCGCCTCTGTGGTCTAGTGGTCAGAGTTCCTAGCTACAATCCAGAGGTTCCGGGTTCGATTCCTGGAGCTACCAGATTTTCTGAGTAGTAGTGGTTCTGGAACAGGGTTCACTCAGCCTCATGAGGATAAGTGAAGCACTATTTCAAGGAAACAGCAGCTCCAGTCTACAAAACCGAGATTAACAGCCATGGGGATCTGTTGTGCTGACCATGCAACACCCTCTACCTGCTAAAGTTGGCACTAACTTCGCTGACAAGCAGCGGTCACTCGGTCAGTATAGTTCACTTGCAGACTACATGCCACAGAGTTTGTTTTTGTTTTGTTTGCATTAATACTTGTGTCAAAATGCCACATGACAGTCACATGGAATGAGCGTTTATGTACGATACCTCTATGAAAAGTGGTTGTCTATGAAAACTAAGGAGGTTCTTACATACAGCTAAGGATCTATCAGTTCCAAATGAAAACCTATTCACAATACTGTAAATAAATGAATACAGACAATACGGACAAAAATGAACTGAATCAAAACACTGTGCTCAGTGAAGGGAAACTGGTGCTAGGCTTAAATATCTTCCTCAAAAATTCCTTAGACATCTTGCACAGGACACTGGGATTTCAAAACCATCAGTACAGTCACAAAACTCCCAAATTTGAAACCACATAAAACAACAGTAATTGGTTCCTGCATAAAGCATAAACTCCCTTCACAGTAGCTGTCAAGTGATTACTCAGGCAATACTGAGGAGAAACTGAAATGTGTATAGGCTATTAGTTTGTCAAGTCTGCTGCCACTACAAAATTGTAGGTCCCAAATTGACAAGAGAATCATCTGGCTCTTCCACCTGAGCGGCCAAATGACTTTCAGGTAGTTCTCACATAAGCTCAGTGTACAAGCCATATTCACTAATGCTTGATTGTACAGAAACTGTGTGCACTACAGACAAGAGATTAACGTTACACTGGTTCAACATCAATTAACTGACTTGCAGAGCTTAACAGCTCCACATTCCCATAATGGTTTTCAGGCACATGGGAGACGATAAACAAGTACGTCCCTGTACACTGGAAAAACAAGGACCCAGGGTGATTTGAATCAAAACTGTGTAATAGTTCATTATCTATAACTACATTCTGACATTCAATTGTATTAAAACATGTGAAATCTATACCATTTCCATTACAAGTTCAGTTCAGAATGTGACAAAAGCATCCAGGACAAATGTGGAAAAGTGAAAAGATGAGAAACCATTTGGTCCATACAGACTCAATTCAAAGCATTAAAATATTTATCATAGCCCTCTGGATGTCCTGTACATATCTATATACAAGACTGTGTATTGTACCAATGTGAAACAAATCATTCAGATGGATTTTGATACACATTAATATGATGAAATCCTGTAAAAATTCTGAAGTATCACATATGGGTAGCAATGAAATGCTGAAACTGGACTTAACATACAGTCCAAAAATCAGAAAGCGTAAAGAATGGGGTTTCAAATGCGAAATAGCAAAAGCAAGGAATATTTCATATGCTGGGAAAGCCACATACTAATAAAGCAATCCTAGCTTCATTTCAAGCATCCTGAAATGCAAACAAATTCATTGTACCACTTTTCTTTCTTTTGTTGTTTGGGCGACCACGTCGACCACCTGATGGCTTCTGATTACCTCTTCTATTAGAACGCTTTGCTCTTCCCAGTCTCACGCCGTCATCTGTCACATCTTTGCGGCTCGAAGAACTTCCAGGTGAAAATAGAATGTCCATAACATGAGGAATAGAACTATCACTAACGTCTAATTTCAGCTCTTGTACACTGTCACTTCTTTCAATACCATCGTTCAGCATGGAACCAAAAGGTTCAAAAGATGTATCATGAGGTACAGGCACCACAGACATGAGTTCAGAATCAGAATTTTCTGTGCCTGAGAATAATGAGCTGTTCTTCACATCTACCAGATTCTTCAATTTCAAAGTGTCTTCTGAGCTACCATCTCTGTCCAGCATATCTGACATTAATAAACTGAAATCACTGCCCTGTACAGTTTTCAACTCTGGGCTTAGAACATCCTTCACTGCATGTAAATGGGCTGTGTCTTGGTAATTTGCATGCATGTATTCTACTATGCTCTGGTGTTTACGTATCAGACTATTCACTTGGTCCTGCAGAATGGCAACATTCTGACGTATACTGTCTGATGTCACAGCCAGGAACTCTACTTTCTGGTTCAGAATCATGATATTCTGTTCCATCATATGAAATTCTACACTCTGGTATCTCTGTGCCAAAATCAGAAATAAGGTACTTAAAATGCAAATAGCAAAACTACAGGAGCTGAAAAATTGGGAACCCTTAGATCCTGGAATTGACACATTTGTATCAATATGTAGATCCACTTCAGTGTATTTCCCTGAGCCAGGAATGCATATTGTTTGTGTTGTCCCAGGTTTTGACTTATAATTTATAGGTGTCTTCATTTCTTCTTCAAGTTTTGCATTTTGACTAAGACTGAATACACTGTCTCTTGTTTCATATGTCATCTCAAAGTCTTACTTTATCTAGTTTAGCCTGGGTAATGCCTGCAACAGCAAATATTGTACACAATAATTATTCAAACTATTATTCAACATACAGGTACTCATAAATTTATGCAACAGTTGTGCTCCAAAATATGAGGTCACAGAGAATGAAATCGCATAAATGAAACATAATTTTCCCTTCTTCCCTTGAATTCCTCCTCTGCAAACCCATACAATAATCTCCTCCCTCTTCCACCCCATCTCAATCAGTCAGCAAGAAATTTTCATTGAAGTAAGTGCAATTAATTGAAATAGGTCAAAATGAAAATACATTTTTCAAATTTGAATATAATGAGTGCATGTATTGAGAGATAAAAATATTCCAAATGAGAAATGTTCAATAAGTAGTTTCCTAGCCTGTATCATTTCTGGGTTAGACTTGAAAGGATTCTGACGATGGTGTATACTGTACTTCTTCTGGCTTGTTTTCGACTTCATCCATCATCTGGTATGTAAAAGATAAAAGACCACGACGTTTTGGAGTCCAGTGATTGAGACTAGCTCTTTCTAACGGGCCCAACTGAGTAGGTTTATCCTTCCCTACCCACCTGAAGACGGAGACAGATCCAGTCTCCAAAACGTCGTGGTCTTTTGTCTTTTACATACCAGACGATGGATGAAGTCCAAAACAAGCCAAAAGAAGTACTGTATAATTTCTGTTACTCAAGCATTTTGTTTTTCAATAGGCAGTAACACTTGGTAGTGGCAGGAGTAGGGGTATGTGTAGGGCTAACATGCAACAAATGGCTGATTCCACAATAATGAAGATGTAGAATTGGCTAGTGGTGAATCGTCATAAGTACAAGAGCTCAATTTCTATCCTGAAGTAATTCTGAAACCCATGTCAAGATAGCTAAAAATGCATCAATGTGCTCAAGGATTATACTGAAAAATAAAAATACTTCAGAGGAATAAATGGGCTACATTTAACTTTTTAACAACTCCTCATTTAATTTTTATGACATAGGGTACCCTACTTATTTAAAAACTTTCTCACAAGCAACAACAAATATATACAGAGATAATAAAATTGGAATGAAATGTAAGTTAAAATTATCTGCATCGGTACCCATGAACCATAGCGTAAATCAACGGGAAATAGAGAAAATAAGAATACAAATATAAAGAAACACATATGAACACAGTCCTCTTAGCTGAAGAACAATCTCATATTCAAGATGAATAACAGATATCACTCATAAAGTGAACAAATTAACCAGCAAATACTGAATGATAATTTCAACAGAAAAAAAAAATGTGGCATTTTGTGACTGCGAACTCACATGAATGAAAGAGTAGTAAACAATAAAACACTACCTCAGAACTATAAACATATTACACACCAAATGGATCAAGGAATAGGGAACACTTCTGAGCGAACTACTAAATGAGCAAGCCTGGAATGGGTCAACACATGTCCAAAGGGACCTAATATGGATTCCACATCACACTATACGAACTCTTTAACTATTATAATCTACTGTAATCTATTGTAAACAGTTGTAAGTATTGTAACTTTATTCTCTTATTGTAATCAGCCAATGTACAGTAACAGACTTGTCCTATACCATGTAACAATGATCTATAGAGACGAAATAAATAAATAAATAAATAAGCTCTGACTGCTGAATAATTATTATTCATGGAATGGAACATTATGAAACGGTCTTTTACATTTTAAATGGTCAGGTGTTTTAGGAAAAAATGTAGTAAGATTACACACAACAATGAGAGTTCAATATTTTTATATGATTGTAAGACACACACACTTACTCAAAGATATATGTATAAATCATATTCAAATGGCAGTGAGACAATTTGTAAAAGTAGCCACATGATATAGAGTAACTGATAACCAGAACTAAAAATAAATTCTTGGTTAAATTCTACTCTAGAAGGGCACCATGCAGGATATTCACAACAGCTCTATTATATTAAGTTTTATTGCATTCTTTGCTGAGCACCAAATGTTGGTAAAAGTTAAACATTAATCAAAACTTCATATAAACTTGGAGTTACAGTGAACCAATGCAGATCAGTATAGATTTTAATACTGTCCACCCACCTACACCTTGGTCTTCCTAGTGGACTCCTTCCTTCCGGTTTTCCCACCAATATCCTATATGCATTCCTCGTCTCCCCCATTCATGCTACATGCTCTGCCCACGTCATCCTCCTTGACTTCACCATTCTAATTATACTTGGAGAAGAGTACAAATTATGAAGCCTTCTCCAACCTCCTGTCACTTCAGCTCTCTTCGGTCCAAATATTCTCAACACCCTGTTCTCAAACACCCTCAGTCTATGTTCCTCCCTTAATGTCAGAGACCAAGTTTCACACCCACAGGCAAAATTATAGTTTTATATATTCTAATTTTCATGTTTTTAGGCAGCAGACAAGAAGACAAAAGTTTCTGGACTGAATGGTAGCAAAACATTACCTGAGTTCAATCTTCTCTTAATTTCCTCCGGAATAGGGTTTTGATTTGTTATAGTCATTCCCAAATATCTGAACTGTGCCACATTTGTAAAACATCTGTTACCTATTTTTATGTCATGATTTTGCCCTGCATTTTGGTGACAAGATAGCGACATATAATATAATGCAAATAATGCATACAAATAAAACAAAGCAGGAAATTGTATTCTGCAACTGTGAGGAAAGATACCAAGCAGTTCATCACAAAGGTTACATGTACTTATCAGTGCTGAGCTTGACATGCTGGCAGTGGCACGGGTGATCACACGAGATGGGCGTGCACTCTAGCATGTACAGAAACAAGTTCACAAATGTACACATCCTACAGGGATTCTGTCCCTTTCTCTTACATTTCTTAAATTGTCTCCAAAACCGTCAGCCTTATGGGAAACTAGCATTCAGCATTAAATGTGTTTCATTTCTGTCTATAACGTTTGTTCCTAACATTTCCTATTCCAATGAATACCGAGCAAATTATGGTCAAGATCCATCCAAAAATGCATGCTATTGCAGATACTTTGATAAAGTGTTTATTTTTCAGATTGTTACTAAAATCGAAATGTTGCCAAAATGACTGCAAAACTCTCAAACATATTTTTTTTAATTGGATCAACAGATATACAGATATGGATAAGAGAACAGGTGCATTTTTTGCAACTTCTCATTATCAGGGCACCACAATGAAAATGGGCTAAGTTTAAATTTTAATAACCTATATTGTAACTGCGCAATCCATTATATTTTAATTAAATAACTTAATTTTAGATACATATAGACCCATAGAATGAAGTGCGAGGAAGCTTCGTTTTAATTATTATCAAGAACAAGAGTATTATGTAACCTGTGGACTGTTCGAGAGATCACTGTTCATCACTATAAACGTTACGAAACGTTTGCTCCATTTCGTGTAATTACCTTGAAAATCATAACATTTGGGGGAAAAGTGTACCGAACCATAAGATGTTCAATTTTCCTCTATACCTTTAATTCGAAAGACGTTTCGTTTCGATGAATGGGAAGTTATACTTCCGATGCGCGCGGAATCGAATGTAGGACTCTGTAAAGTAGCCGTTACTTTCCTTCGATTTTAACCAAAAATTGGAATGGATCGATAAATTTAATAAAGTTCGCCAATATAATTTGTTATTAAAAACGTTCGTCACACTGTCCTCGACTTGTTACATGCGGACGGGGGGAGGAAAGCTACATTAAGAAACTCATTTTTGCAACTTTTCGTTTCAAACGCGCCAAAAAGTGGTGTCAACTGATCCATTCTCAACAAATGCTGGCAACCACAGCACGCGCTACCTAGAGGTGAACACGGACTGCGCCAGGACTTCTTCCACGTCAAGGGCAGGAGCGCAAAAGCCAGGAATGTTTCCGGGTGGCGGGGGGGACAACCGGAAAATTTTCTTACAAATTTAAGTTTCAATCGTTCATGAACATTTTTTGGGTCGCCCTAAAACTGTGGGTGTCTATACTGAAACATATATAAATGGTGCCACAAAATGTGTTGAAGATCCTTAGGTGCCCTTTGATTTTTTTTAATCCTGGGGAGAAAAGCCTGCCATTATCCCCCCCCCCTAACCGGTAGCCATGGAGCAGGGGAAGCAAGAAAGGTGGCAGTTTGAGTTCGGAATATTCACCGTCTTATTCGCTGAAGAAAATCAAATTACGTTCTATAAAGTGACGCCGTGTGGTTCGGTAGACAGGTACCAACATTTCGTGAAAGCCTGCTGCAGCCATATCCCGAGCACTGACGTAAAGGTACCTACGTTTCGGATGAACCACTTGCTTCCATCTTCTTAGTATACCCTGAAGATGGACGCAGATTCTTCCAAAACTTTGGAACCTATACTCCAAACTGCATGGTGTCACACCTCAAAAGAGCACAATATGAATATATAGCGGCGTGAGAAACTCATATGAAAATCAAGGGTTACTATCCTATTCACTGTAAACCCAACAGTTCGTTTCTTTTGAATAAGTTCTCTCCTAACCTTATCTTTCCCACAACAAATTCACTTACCTACATCAACAACACTGTGCACAGTAATATTACAACGCCTTGTATATGAGTTTCATAAGTATACACAATATCTGGAACGTATCTTTCCAACATTCAATGACCCACACTCGTATACGCCGTTAAGAGGGCAGCTTATGTTGATATTTTGTACAATCACAGCTTAATACATTGAATAACCACTGCATATAAAGCTTAAGTTTAGTATTTACAATTTTTTAATCACAAAACAATGGCTTTCTCCTAATGCCATCACGTATTACTTCCTGACCACTAATCTAAGGGTGAAAATCTATTCTATTCTCAATTTCCCGCACGTACACATGCAACTACAAAAACAAAATGTGACAGTCTTGCCAACGTGAACAAACGAATTACGCTGAATGATGTACTCCCCACATAGTTACTTTTCCGAGGGTGGTTTCCTTTCTTAACAAGTCTTCTAAACCGGAATTAACCACACACGATGATGATGATGATGATGATGATGATGATAATACACGTGCAATAATGGTAATACTACTATCAGGAACAGCGCAACAGCACAGGAGATTCAAGTGGCCCGTAGGAGACACGGTTTACAGAGCCTTTTCCGTCTTTCGGTTTTCCGTAAATTAAAACTACTTTCGGCTGATCTTTAACCTCAACAAGTTATGCAACATCGTGAACAAATGTATTTAATGAAATACGACAAAAATGACGGCTTTCTTCACAATGTTCGGAAATTTCGTGCCATTATTTGAAGCAAAGTTGTGAGAACGTTGAGCTATTTTAGGGGGAGGGGGATTTCTGGTCTCCTAAGGAGGCATTTAGGCTGACTACTATACATTACCAAAGAGGAATTATCTTCTGGGACGTGCCGCCATGTCTTCTGGAAGTTTCCTACTGATAAACTTTCACAAGACTACACGGCATCACAGCCCAGCCGTTAGCACCACTAATAATCTCTGCCATGAGGACCTCACATTTTCGCAACACTGTAACACGTAACGGCCTTCATCTGCTCCGAAGGAAGGGCAGTCCCATAACAGTACAAGCAGTTTGCTCTAAGTTACATAAGGCACTATCACCCATGAGTGCAAAAAACCTTCATCAGTGGGATAACATTACCACGTCCATGTAAAATGCATACGTAAGCGAAAATATTCTTCTTCTCCACAAGGCTCGACAGCTTCATTTCTTGAATGCTTTGGCCTGCTCAACATTTTCCTTCCAACTACTTCTGTCATGTGTGCGAGTTATCCAGTTATAAGCTCCTAACTCCTTTAGATCTTCCCTTATGTCATCTTTCCATCTAATCTTAGGTCGGCCTCTCTTTCTTGTGGCGTGTGGCTGTCAATCATGTATTCTTTTAACTGTTCGTCCAGCCTCCATCCTTGAGATGTGTCCAAGCCAACTTATTCTTTGGACTTTGATGAAGTTAACTGTGTTCCTTCCTTTTATTAGATTATCTGGTTCCTCATTTGTTTTAATTCTCCAGGAGCCATCGCGGTTTCTTGGTGGCCCGAAGATCTTTCTTAGAATTTTCCTTTCAAAGACTAAAAGTCTATGTTTAATGGCTTCTTTAGTTGTTCGGGTTTCACAGGCGCAGGTTACTGTTGGTCGATTAACCATCTGGTATAATCTTAATTTGGCTGTTTTAAAAATAAGTATACGTTTAAGTAGTGTTAAATGTGCAGCATATGCTTTCTTTCCAGTTGCTAACCTCTCTTCAATCTCTTGTTCGATTGTGTTATCTGAATTAACTATAGACTCTAAATATTTATAATGAGAAACTTGTTCTATATTTACGTCACTGCATCTGAGATCTTAATTTTTTTTTAATGCTAGTGGAGTGGGACTAAGTCCCTTGTACTGCGGCCACTTCTGGCCTATTGTACCAGCCCAAGATGATAGGTGAGGGTGATTGTGGAGCAATTGGTGGAATGAAGATTGGCAAGGGAAACCGAAGTACTCAGAGGAAACCTACCCCAGCGCCACTTTTTCCACCACAAATCCCACTTGGCCAGACCCGGGATCGAACCCGGGCCGAATGGTGGGAAGGCAGCGACTAACCGCTTGAGCTATGGCCCATCTGAGATCTTGGATTAAAGCGAAAATACTGCATTTAATAAATTTTTGTGCTTCTAATTAATAAAAAATATAAGACAAGAAGTTCTGGTAAGAACTAATCCCCCACTTTCCTTCGATTCCACATGGACCACACAGGAAATGACGCATCCACCAATTCTTCGTTGCCCCGGAAACGTATTCACTGAGCCACACAGACTCTCCTGTGTTACGACAAGGACCGCACATAAAATGGCGCCTCCAACAATTTTTCTATTGTTGAGTGTATTCGTTGCTGTGGGAACGTGTGTACCAAGCCGCTGTCCAACAACTACGGGGGGGGGATACACATTCAGACACACAGACTAACAGGAGTTATTTATGAAGTACGCCGTTGAGATGGGGTCAGGTGCCATGGCACACACACCGAGTTTCAGAAAGATTGGTTCAGGCATTCGAGAGTTGATGGGGGGGGGGGGATACACAGACACATAAACAGCAAGGTAATCTCATAATTCTATTTTTAATTNGAGTTAGATAGATACACAGACACATAAACAGCAAGGTAATCTCATAATTCTATTTTTAATTCTTTTAAAGTGAGGAAAATAAGCTAAAAAGTATGGTAATGAGTATTATTGTGATCTACATTCTTCATTTTATAGATTGGATAAGTTCGGCATTAATATTTTGCGAATAACTTCTCAGTACCTAGGATCTGAGATGCTCACAGCGGTGGCTAGGAACAGGTCTATCTTCAGGGATATATTGTCGTTAGTCTACAGAGTGTCAACCGTCTCTGCTTGGCGCTGGTAGGTCATGAAAAAAAGAAAAATGGAAGTGATTTCGAGATATATATATTTAGGACAAAGTTAATAACTCTTTAATTACTTAACGTCACTGTTTCAAACGCAAAGGTTGCGTCCAATTAAATGGAAAGATTCTTGTGAATTGTGAGATGAGGACTTGGTAGGAGACCGTTGTGGCCCATTGAAAAAATCCCAACATTCACTGGGCGGATTTAGTGAAACGATGGAAAAAAAAAAAAAGTACTGAGAGGAAATAATAACACCTATATTTGAAACCCTTCAAATACAGGTCTGAAGGGTTATCATCAGGGCCCGGATTTTGATGACCTGAAAATATTTAAAAAATTACCCATAAAATGATCGAAAAATTCCAGAAAAATTACCTAAAATATGACCCAAAAATGTAATATGCAGGGCCCGGATTTTGATGACCTGAAAATATTAAAAAAAAGACCTATAAAATGACCGAAAAAATCCAGAAAAATGACCTAAAGGAGAAAAGAAAGAACACTTCGCTTCCATGTTATTCACATTTCAGAAAACATATGAAGAAAAATTCCCTAAAATGGCCAAAAATGACAAGAAATACCCTTAAAAGTCCAAAAATTTACCAAGAAATTACCCTAAAAATGAAAAAATGACCTTAACCTAAAAATGTCAAAAAATGACAAAAAAAATACCTATAAAATTTACATTTCTGTAACCAGCAGCTCTTATCCGAGATTTATATATTTAAGAGCATCGCATAGGATACAAGGGAAAAAAGATGACATGTCATCAAAATCCGGGCCCTGGTTATCATTAAACGAAACCGTTCTCTCTCTATATGGCTCTATAGCCCTTTGGACCATGGCCGCTTTTTCAGTTTCTTAATCTATACACAGTCGGTAAGACTCCTTGGACGGGAGATCAGCCCGTCGCAAGGCCGCTACCTACACACAGGACAACAAAAACAGAATAAACGCACATAGCCATGCCTCGATTGGGATTAGAAACCACGATTCCAACGTTCGAGCGGGCGAAGACGGTTCATGCCTTAGAGCGCGCGGCCACTGCGACCGGCTACGAAACCGCCAGGAAAGCCGAATGTTATCGGATGAAAATCATAATGACATTAATTGTCAAATTGGCTGAGATGAACATGGATACTAGTGATCTCTAAAAGGTGAAGGAAGAATGGTTATGGTCTATTTAAATGTAACATTCAGCCATTCGTCCGAAATTTGAAATATGACATTTCTGAAGAGGCAGGAAAGCCATTAATTCCTTTTTCCTTCGCTGAGAAAATAACAGAAAATGCCTGACTATGAACAGACCGGATATAGCTGTACAGCCTTGTATTGTTGGCAAGTAAGGGTCTTGATTTTTACAGCTGCAGAACAAGTTGGTGCAGCATTTCCAAAATAAGGCGGTTCTAGAGACAG